AAGTTAGGACAAACTCATTTCGCAGGACTTCTGGCTTGTAAGTTGTTGTTCTCTCATTGTTTCCATGGCTCTTGTGAGAAAGGAGGATAGAAGGTCTGCTGCCCTTTCTGTGGCGTAGTTACAAGTGCTTTGGGGTGCTTTTTGGTTTTGTTTGTTTTTCTTTTCTGTTTGTTGACACAGTCTTTTAATATGGATTTCTGGTTTGGCAGGATGTTTGTTAACTGGAAACCATTTCAAACTTCTGTCAGTAAGATTTGTTGTGATACGGATGGCCTTTTCTTTTCTTAAAATAATAGAAGCTTTTTAAAAAAAGAATTGTGTAAAGAGAGAAGCATATTTTGTTTGGCTTCACCAAAATGCCCCTCAGCTCCGGGCAGCCCAGCGCTCCTGCCTGAGACCAGGCCCGGAGCAGGGAGAGGGGAGAGGGTTGCAAAGTGAGATTTCGGTTGGGGTCCGTGCATTCCTTTCCTTGTGACTGTGTTGTGGGTCGTAGTTGGCCCAGCACCGGGCGGCTTGAGGGAATTTCCTTAATGAAACTCAGCAGTAGGAGGTCTGTGTCCTTCAAATTTGCTTTGCTCGTGGCTAATCTGAAAAAGATGCATTTTTTTTGAGACCGTTGCTTTTTTTTCCTGGAGTCTGCATTCTCAACATGCTGCTCACCAGGACAGAACTTGTCAGGACATGTTAGATACTTTCATAAACACAGTCAGGCTACTCCAGAATGGTGTCATCAAATGTCGCCCCAGTTTTATTTTTAAAAAGGACGAGGTCAGTGTCATGACTGGCTTGAACCAGTTCAGGTATCCAGTGGGGAAGGGACCCACTTTCCTGGCATAATTGAGTTGTGTGTCAGAAATAGAAACGGCAAGCCTGCACGTGGCACAGTGATTTCTCTACGCTTTCCTCTCGGGTGTGAAGTGGAATGCGTGTCCCCAGCTCCCCTGTGACCTGTGTGGTCCCCTTACGTGGATAAAGCAGAGACCACGAACACCTGTCGAAGGCCGCATGGCGGGTGGAGCAAAGCCGGAATGCTTGCCCAGGAATCGCTTCTTTTCTAAAAAAAAAAAAAAAAAAAGTATTTTTTTAATTGATTTCAGAGGGAGGGAGAGGGAGTGAGAGATAGAAACATCAATGATGAGAGAGAATCACGGATCAGCTGCCTCCTGCACGTCCCCCACTGGAGATTGAGCCCAACCTGGGCATATGATGGAACCGTGACCTCCTGGTTCACAGGTTGACACTCAGCCACGGAGCCACGTTGGCCGGGCTGTGCTTCCAGTTTTAGGAAGATCATGTGTCCTCTGAAACGCGGAGACCTCCGTGGACAGAGAGGATTTGGTTTGTAGCCGAGACCCATACAAGGTTTAATGCACAAGATTTCATTCTCTCACATAAAGAAGTTCAGAGAGAGGAAGTCAAGGGCTTCAAGGTGGTTCCTCGAGTTGTGAGAGCCATTCTTCATCTTCATGGCTCCACACGGCTGCTGGGGCTCTGGCAACAACACCCTTGTTTCGGGGAGCAGATGGATGAAGGGCAGAAGCAGGGCCTGACCTTGTAAAATCGCCTTGAATAAGGGGTGGGGGTTCCCAGAATAACCATGTGACTGACGCTCTCTTTGTATCTCATCGTCCAAACTTAGTGTGGGCCACACCTGCCTACAGGGAGCCCAGGACGGGGAGCTTCATGGCTTCTCCATCCTTTCGAGCCTTTTCTGTGGACGATAGCCAGAAACATTGCCATCCTCGGAAAAATGTCTCAGAAGCGAAAACTGTTACTGTTAGTCATGATAACAGTAACTCATATGTAAGGGATCACAGGCGCTGTCTTCCGCAATTTATATGAACCATCTTACTTCACCTTCCCTAGATGTGGGTGATATTATCCCCATTTCACAGAAAAGAAATTGTGGTTTAAAAAAAGTTACGTTTTTCCCAAGGTTATGTCTCTAGTAAGGGGTGAGCCGGGGCTCAGAGCCAGACTTGCCTTTTTCCAGATTCCAGGCATCCAATCACTGCGCTGCCTTCTGCCTCTCAAGTGTTAGTTAGCTTGGTCATTCATTCATTCATGTCAGCCCTGGGATGGTGTAGAACCTGCTATCCTATTTGTGGTTTTAAAGTCTTTTGCTCTTTACCCTTTCCACCCAACACACACACACACACACACACACACACACACTCACATTTATTTTTCCAAATCCTTAAGTATGTCTATGCTTCTGTAAAAGAATGTGATTTTCTATACTTGGTTAGTTCATTGTAAGTTGTCTTTCTGTATTTGGGTCAGGAGCCTGCATGCTAGCATTTTGGGCAGTTTAGAGGAACCCTGGGAGCTAGTGGTGATCACAGAGTGAGTAAGGAAGAGCCCTCCCCCCAGGCATTGACAGTGCGATTCTATAGAGGATGGGTTTTAGACGAGCCTCGGAACATCCAATTATACTGTGACTCTGCATGTGAATCAGAGCTGCCCTGGGTGTGCACACCCAGGTGTCCTGGTAATTACAGGTGTATCGTGGTTACCTCCAAACGGCCACCCACCCCTTCAAAACATTCCCAAGAAATTAGGTAGAGTAAACAGGCAATTCTATTTTAGTATTCCTTATAGTTTCCCCTTAAGCAACACTACTTATATAATGATTTTGGTAATAGAAGCTGAATCTTAATTCACATAAAGCAGATATGGGGTTAATTATAATACCTACTAGAGGCCCGATGCATGAAATTCGTGCAAGAGTAGGCCTTCCTTCCCCCGGCTGCCGGCACCGGCTTCCCTCTGGCACCTGGGACCCAGGCTTCCCTCGCAGCCCCAGCTTCGTCCAGAAGGTCGTCTGGAAGGACGTCTGGTCTAATTAGTATATTATGATTTTATTATTATATATTACTTTGAATGTCCACTTGTAAAAACAATTCATTTCCTATCTTATGAAATTTTGAATAGTGGCAGAAATAATAAACTATTGTATTAGAAATCTGAGTCAGATGGGGCCGGTGGTGACCTTTGACCGAGCCTGCTGATACAAGCCTGTTTAAGGGTTACCCTCTGTGTGTGTTTTCCACAAGGACCAGGGAAGAAAGACATTCTCCTGACAGGTGAGGAGGAAGAGAGCTTTGCCCAGGGCTGCAAGGCTGGCGCCACTGTCTCCTACAAGACTTCCGTTTCTTTATTCCAGTCTTTGCCACCTGGACATCGGCTATCGGGAGGAGGGACAGACAAGGATTCTCATCTTGTCCATTTATCAGCTTTGTTCTCTAGTGCGTCTACTCCTTGGAGTTATTTCTTTACAAAGAAGTCCTTTTTTCCTATCTGGGAGCTCCCTGCCTGTGGTTGCCCCCCGTTCCTGGTCACGTGTGTACAGAAGCACATGTGTGTACAGAAGCGCTGTGCTTCATCGTGGGAAGGACTGTTTCTGGAAAGGCATAAACGCAGTCGGCACCAGGGTCTGCCTGGGCCCTCTCGTTCCGAGTGTGTAAGCTGCTTCGGTAACCGAGCCCCCTCCCTTTGAGAAGTCGGTTTCTGCTGAGGCTGTAGGCCTGTCTCAGGTGCCCTGACCCGTGGTTAACGAGTGAAGAGTCTCCGGGCTCTCCGCACAGTCCCTTTCATCTTGGATGACCTGATTAGCTTTATCTGATCGTGGGAAACATGTTTCCTAATTGTCCTTGAGATCATGGGCTTCGTTATTACCTGGAGTGAATTTCACTTGGAAAACTTATACCACTTGGCTCCTAAAGACAATGATAAGTAGCACTTGGTGTTGATCTTTAGAATTAAACAAACAAACAAACAAACAAACAAACAAACAAAAAGGTTAAAAAGAAGGCTTCCCTACACTGTATGCAGTCCTTCCCTCAGCACTGAGGAAAGTGGCTTATGCGCATTCATGACGTCATGTCACCAGGGATTCTGCCGTGAACACAGCAGGCATGGTTTCTTCCCACTTATTATGGGAGACATGTTTATTATGAAAGAGGGGACATGTTTTCATAAGGAATCTACAGAGAGAACTTCAGGGGCTGGCCCAGAGTCACTGTATCTGATAACATTTGTATGAATGTGGGATTGATGGCAAAACCGGAAGGCAAGGAGGAAGATTTTTTAAAAATATATTTTATTGATTTTTTACAGAGAGGAAGGGAGAGGGATAGAGAGTTAGAAACATCGATGAGAGAGAAACATCCATCAGCTGCCTCCTGCACACACCCCCCCCCCCCCCCCACTGGGGCTGTGCCCGAAAACAAGGCACATGCCCTTGACCGGAATCAAACCTGGGCCCTTCAGTCCGCAGGCCAATGCTCTATCCACTGAGCCAAACCGGTTAGGGCCAGGAGGAAGATTTTAAAGTCTTAGAAACCCGGTTGGAGGGTGGGATGTTTCTCCATCGGTAATGGGTAGCCAGCGGGGCTCAGGATTGGAGCGGGGATGTAATCTAGGCACTCAGAAAGCATAATTCTGATCCTAGGTGCCGTCCCATGAGGAAGGGCAGCGATGGGGGTCCCCTGAGGAGCTGGCGATGCTTGCACGCCTAAGAGAAAGCCCTGAAGTAACGGGCTGTGGCCAGGCTGGGCCGGGACAGAGAGGAGACACTGCCGTGGGAAATGGGGGCTGGTGCTGACTGCACAGGAGAGGCAGCCGATGGCGTTGGGAGTTTCAGGCAAGCAGACTTTGGGAGTAATTCTGGATGCAGTAAGCGCTTAAAGAGCATCAGTTAAGAGAAGCCCGAATGTGCTCTCATGTGACTTCTTTCTCAGATCCTATCTTTGATGCCTATCGCTTGGAGTTATTTCCTAAAACGAGGAATAAATTGCCTTCCTGCTCTCCTCATTCCAGATCCAATGGAAACATGTCTTTCTCTGTTTTTGTCTTTTCAGGGGGTGTGGGGGCGTTAAGGAGAAATTCTCCCCAAATTAGGAGAAAATGGAGCTAAGACCATTACTCACAAGTGAGAAGTGGCAGCTCAGTTGAGAAGTGTGTGGCGTGCACTGACCACTGCATGGCTTGTCTCCTAGGCGTTCTTTGTTGATCACAACTCCCGGACCACCACGTTCATCGACCCCCGGCTCCCCCTGCAGAGCGGCCGGCCCACGAGTGCGCTGGTGCACCGGCAGCACCTGACCCGGCAGCGCAGCCACAGCGCGGGCGAGGTGAGTCACGCCCGGGGACCCCCGACCGACCGGGGCTGCTGACCCCGGGACCCCCAATGGGCTGCTGACCCCGGGACCCCCGACCGGGGCTGCTGACCCTGGGACCCCCGACTGGGGCTGCTGACCCTGGGACCCCCGACGGGCTGCTGACCCCGGGACCACTGACCGGGCTGCTGACCCCGGGACCCCCGACTGGGGCTGCTGACCCTGGGACCCCCGACTGGGGCTGCTGACCCCGGGACCCCCGACGGGCTGCTGACCCCGGGACCACTGACCGGGCTGCTGACCCCGGGACCCCCGACGGGCTGCTGACCCCGGGACCCCCGACCGGGGCTGCTGACCCTGGGACCCCCGACGGGCTGCTGACCCCGGGACCCCCGACCGGGGCTGCTGGGTGCTCCAGGGGGTGATGTGTGGCTCCCCCGCCCTGTCTCGCTTTCCTGGTTTGACTTAGAGATGCTCATGTGGAGGCTGGGGAGGGCTGGGATGTTGACAGGGCTTCTTTGGAGACGCATGGAGCCCACGTGCCCAGTAGAAGAAGCAGCCTATAGGAGGGGAGAGGAAAGAAACGAGAGGTTTTCTTACATTCAGAGGCTAGTGAGAGAGAATTCATAATGTGATGAAATACGTAAGAGGGGATGATGAGCCTGACTGGTGTGGCTCAGTGGTTGAACATTGACCTATGAATCAGGAGGTCACGGTTTGATTCCCAGTCAGGGCACATGCCCTGGTTGCAGGCTCAATCTCCAGTGTTGGGTGTGTAGGAGGCAGCCAATCCATAATTCTCTCTCATCATGGATATTTCCATCTCTCTCTCCCTCTCCCTTCCTCTCTGAAATCAATAAAATATAAATTTATTAAAAAGTGGGGATGATGAGCCCTTTTGCCCACCTAAGGGCAGCTTCACAGGAAGGAAGGAACATGACTTTTAGTGGGCTAAGTTTGGGTAAAATGTCAGGGAGTTTCTTAAGTGAGGCTTGGTGGATTCCATAAAGATCTCTGGCCAAGGCGGGGGGATTGTGGCATTCTCACTCAGTAATATTCTTTAAGATTGAGTTGTATCTGAGAGTTGATTTATGTACTGGAAGCGTCCAGAGAAAATGGGTGGAATTAAGAATCCCTGAAATTTCTATTGGCTGGTGTGCAGGGACCCATGGCAACCACACGAGGGCTCTCGAATAGCCTAACAAAACCAGAAGTCACCCTTTCCTGCTTCTCCTTTTCTGTAGAGGCTTAAATAAAGAAAAGGAATGCTGGAGGTCACATTTCTTCTTCTTCTACGGATGGACGTCTGCTTTGGAAACATATCCTCACTTCATATGCATTGTTTCTAATAATTCCCTTTGACAGATTTAATTCAGATTATTTTCCTGCACGCCTCTTCCACACCAATGTGCATACCCTATTTTCAGTACTGGATTGCGAGCCATATACTTCCGTAGCTTCTATTATAAGAAACAATTATGAGTGCTGTGAGTAACTGGACTTGAGACACCAAAATTCCACTCTGGAATTCCCCCTCATCCTCTCCACACTGGCTCTCATGCGTCCGGCGTGTGTGCTGGTTGTAAGTGCAGACACAGAGGAGTGTACAGGAGACGCTCATATAAAGATGATCTACTGCAGGATGAGGCAGCCACAGAAATATGTATGCTTTACGAGCAGCTAATAAATCTTTACCTTGCTCTCCTGCAAGCCTCTGTGGTGCAGTGGGCGATGCACACAGCGTTCGTCTGACAGGCAGAACACTCACCTTTGGACCCGTGCACGGCGTGGAGCAGTTAGGGCGCTGCCTGCCTCGCTCCCGTGGCCAGTGCACTCGAGCCACTGTCTTATCTCGACTTCACCGCATGGAGCTGACTGCTCACTGCTCAGGGCTGCGCGCGTGAGATGAATAGCTGGACTCACATTTTCTTTCCATGATCTAGACCAGTGGTCGGCAAACTGCTGCCCCTTGAGCAGCCGTGGGCAAACTACGGCCCGCGGGCCGGATCCAGCCCATTTGAAATGAATAAAACTAAAAAAAAAAAAAAGACCGTACCCTTTTATGTAATGATGTCTACTTTGAATTTATATTAGTTCACACAAACACTCCATCCATGCTTTTGTTCCGGCCCTCCGGTCCAGTTTAAGAACCCATTGTGGCCCTCGAGTCAAAAAGTTTGCCCACCCCTGCCCTTGAGTGTGGCTCTTCCACAAAATACCACGTGCGGGCACGCAGGTACAGTGCGATTGAAACTTCGTGGCCACACTCAAAGGGCCAAAGAGCTGCATGTGGCTTTCGAGCCGCGGTTTGCCGACCATGGATCTAGACTAGTTCCATGATCTAGAAGTAGCCGTTGTGGGAGGGGCCCTAACGTGCACGTTAACATTTGAGTGACCATTGCTCTTCGCCTTGATGGACACTGAGCAGTGGGGAGAGGTACCCCATAAAGACGGAGCGTTGGGGCCCGCCTTGTTCAGCCTTTTTGAGGGGACACGTGTCCTGGCACTGCGATGGAAGGTGCACTTGAGGCAGCGACAGGCTCAGCTCTCAGGGCCTCCCACGGGCTGGCCACCGGGCAGGAAGTTGGGGTGGGGTGTGGAGTGGACCTCCGCTGTCCTGGGAAGTGGCAGCAGCAGCATCCGGACAGGAGGGAATATGCCTGTGGGGGACAGCAGCACTAACTCTGTGACTGACACACGAGACGCAGTTCACCCTGGAATCCCCCCAGACCACGGAGTCGCGGGGATTCATGCCACGCGTGGCCAGCAGCTCCCGAGAGGCAGCCTGAGAACCGTTCAGTCCCATGGACAGATGGGCTTCCCAGCCCCGCTCCTCTGCTCCGTTTGCAAACATGCAGGTGGGGGGATGGCGGCATCTCTTCCATCCACCGGGTGATACTGACCCACACCTGCAGTGGCTGCATGGTGCTTGTTTCAGTGATATGCGTCCATAACATATGTTCCCGTCCTGTGTTCTCATCGAGGAGAGAGCAGATGAAACTAAGCCTAATACAGATGAACAAGCACGAGTGATAAATGCTTTCAGGAGGGCCATCTGCTCGACCCTGACCGTGGGAATATCCCCCAGGGATGAGCAAGCCGTGCAGGGCGGGGAGACATTGCCAGTTTCAGGGCCTTGAGAAAAACCCTCACCAAACCCCACTCTGATGCCCAATGTGCAGATTTGAATGGGTGAGAGGAGAAGCTCTGTTTGAAAGGTGCCGACGTATAAATCCAGCGTGTTATTTTGCCTTTCGTTATCTTAACGCTACTGTTCCACTGTTGTCTTAAAAGGCTCCTGTGATATTAGGGTGGGGGACGCTAACACGGAGCGAAAGCAGTGTTGGCATTTCCTCTTCAGAATATTTTTTGTTTGTCTGCTGGTATGAATGAGTGTGTGAATCTATAATAGGCCCCATAACTAATTCAGGTCAGGGCAGCCCCATTTGGCTCCTCCACACCTGCTATGATTAGCTCCCTGGGTGGGAGGTTCAAACCAGAAAGAGCTGCTGGGCCGGGTGCTCTAATAGGCAAGCGGAATTGCTCCTGAGCAGATAATGCACCGGCTCAGAAGCCCACATGGAGACGGCTGCCCCAGGCCCCTCCTCTGGGAGGCAGGATCCCCTGACCCACCGGGGAAGGCAGGTGCCCCCTGGCTCTGCCACGATGCGATGTGTTTGTCCCGCGCGGGTCTTTCTCCGCATGTCCCGTGGCAGGTTTGGGTTCTGTCGGGCGGAAGCCACCCCTGCTGAGCAGGTGTGCTATTTAGCTCCTGCAGCCCCATCATCGTGAGCATGTGGAGCTACCCCTGTGCCATACAGTGAGCAGTCACCGCCCCTGCCCCTCTCACAGACCCCGATGTCCTGCCCCTCCACTCAGCAACTAAATTCAGCAACTAAAGCAGAGCTTTTGGGAATCTCGAGCCAGCTCCCCCGCTGGCATCTCTTCTGATCAGTTGGTATCTACCAATGCTCATCGCCCTAGCCGGTTTGGCTCAGTAGATAGAGCATTGGCCTGTGGACCAAAGGGTCCTGGGTTCAATTCCGGTCAAGGGCACGTACCTTGGTTGCAGGCTTCTCCCCTAGCCCGGGCCCTCGTCGGGGCGTGTACAGGAGTCAACCAATCAGTATGTTCTCTCACATTAATATTTCTTTCTGTCTTTCCCTCTCTCTTCTACTCTCCCTAAAAATAATGGAAAAATATCCTCGGGTGAGGATTAACCAGAAAAAGAGCAAAAAGAAAAACGTGGCTCAGGTGCTGATAGCGAGCACGCGAGGTCTGGGTGCAGAGCCTAAGGGGTGCTTGTGTCTGCAGGTAGGAGAGGATTCGCGACACTCGGGGCCGCCCGTCCTTCCCAGGCCGTCCAGCACGTTCAACACCGTCAGCAGGCCGCAGTACCAGGACATGGTTCCAGTGGGTATGGCACCCCCTCCCAGAAACCTCCACCCTGCTTCTTGCGCCAGCCTGTCCCGTGCATGCTGTGCTAGCACTGCCCCCTTGTCCGCCCGCTGCTCTTGCCCTGGACTCAGAAACTCTGCGTCATCCCCAGGAAATTGATCTGAATCCCAAAGCACTTAGGTCTTGTACAATCCTCTAGGACAGTGGTCGGCAAACTGCGGCTCGCGAGCCACATGCGGCTCTTTGGCCCCTTCAGTGTGGCTCTTCCACAAAATACCGACTTCTGCGCATGGGCCACGAAGTTTCAATCACACTGTACGTGCGCGCCACTCAAGGGGCCAAAGAGCCGCATGTGGTTCGCGAGCCGCGGTTTGCCGACCACGGCTCTAGGAGGAGATTTATTAATGCCATGCTCTGCCTTTTCTGAGTAGAGCTGTTGCATTAGATTGTTGAAGTTAAAGAAAAATAAGTTGTTAAGGGTTTCTGATATTTGAGAATTCACTCAGTTATGTGATTTAAATATACCTATATTTCTGATTATAAATAAATGTAATCAAGATGAATCATCTTAAGTAAAAAAAAAAACTAGCTTTCTTGATAAAAAGAGGTATGACAAAAGCCCTTAATCAATTTTAAGTAACTATTTTTAAATTTCTATGGGCATTAGGCAACCTTGGCTAAGATAAATTTTTTTTAACGGATAGTTAATATTGCTGATTATGTTGTAGGTGTCGATATAGTTGGTTTGGTAAAGAGCTGTGTGTGGCTTGATGGCACCTATTCCCACATAGAATTCGGGAATGGCTTGTTCTCTGCATTTTGGTAGTAGTGGTTGCTGGCGACTATTGCATTTTGGGGACTTGTTCTGCCTCTTCACCTCCCTGCATGGCTGATATGTAATCAGAAGATAGTTATCTATTTCTAAAAGTTACTTATGAAGTTGATTTTGATAAGCAGTGGTTTGAAATGATTAATAGATAGAATCCTGGTGATCTCACCTTGCTAGTTGATGACAAATATGACTCATCAAATGAGTAATGAATGGTAAAGAAAGTCACACCGGATAGATCTAAGTCCAATGTTCATAACAGCATAGACACAGCGTAGAGTTTAAGTGTTGGTAGTGGCTTGAGTGCCAGGAGTATTAACCCCGAAAACAGATTTTTAAAAAGTTTGGATTCGTATGCACAAAACGAATAGCAGGTTGTTTGTAAATGTTGTCCTGTTTTCTGATTTTCAGCTTATAATGACAAGATCGTTGCATTTCTGCGCCAACCCAATATCTTTGAAATTCTGCAGGAACGTCAGCCTGATCTCACCAGGAACCACTCACTCAGGTAACCATAGTATTGGCGTTTGGTGCAGAGTGCGTACGCCCCAGCTTTAAATCTTCAGGAACAATGGTCATCATCTTGGAAATTTACTCTTTCTCTCTGGCATGCTGTCCAGAGGCATCTGGTCACGAACACTTTATGTCGTCAACGCCAGGTCACTGTAGTCCTGGGTTTTCTCTGTTAAGTACAAGGATGGAATAAAATTGACTAAATAACCCAGAACCTTCTTTAAAGAATATGGAAAAAAAAAAAACACCCACAAAATTCACAGCCAAGAATGCCCCCTAGATGTGCAGATTATAATGAAAATAACAAGACACGAACCTTTTTGAGTAGCTTGAGAAAACAAAAACAACATAGAGCTTGTTGAATTGAGATTCATAAAACCCTAGACTTGGTATTCAAATTTTTCCATAATAAAAACACAGCGGAACCGAGGAGGGGACCCGAGGAGGGAACCCGGTACCGTCTACAGTCCCGCATTCCCCTGCACGAACCCTTTCTTCTCAACAGGCCGTCCACGCCTCCGGCTCCAAGCCCGGTTGTACTTTCCTGAAAACATGCTGCTCCTTTTCCCTGGCAGGATTTTTCTCCTCTTCGGCGTTGGGCAGGAAAGACCTTGCCTTCGGAACTCAATGCCATCCGCCCCTCCATGAGCGGTGCACCCTCCTGTGTACGCTCCCTCTCAGGAGTGAGGCTAGATTTTCTCAGTGTCCATGGCGAGATGGAAAAGTGGGAGTTAAGGCAGACAGTCTGCCAGAACTCCCAGCCCTTTGGGTTTACACGCCACATTCACTGGTAGAAATGGGTCTGCCCCGGGGTGCCATCCTGACCCACAGCAGGGGCCCTCAAGTCCTTCTCTACTTGGGGTGCCAGCCTGTGTTCATCAGGATCATCTGGGAGCTTTATGAAGTACAAGGTGCCAGGTCTCATCGCCCCAACTCCCCTCCCTTCTCTGAAGTTGTACCCCCTAGTCTTCCACACCCTGCCCAGAAGTTTCATTCAGGAGGTCTGGGGTAGAGCTCAAGCATTTACTTTTAAAACCTCTCTCTATAATTTCATTGGCGCTGCCAGGTTTAATAAGCTGTGGTCTAGACACTTAATTACCTACTTAATCATGTAATATATCAACTTACCCTTCATACTATTTTGGTTCTATGACTTTTGTGCTTTAATTAGACTTTTGAGCCTTTATGCTTTATTTTTAATTCCATTTTAAGCTCCTTACAAATAGGGATGTTATTCAAATCATTATTTCTCTTCTTTATGCTCAAATATCTAGAGTAGCATTTTGCATATAGTGAATATATATATGTGTATACACATATATATATTTTTTTATTTGAAAATAAATTACCAAATATCCTTCTTATGATGTTCTCAGTCTGTCTCTATTTTTTCCTGAGGTATTTTTGACCTGCAACATTATATTAGTTTCAGGTGCCCAACATAATGATTTGATATTTGCATGTACTGTAAAATGATCACCGCAATAAGTCTAGTTAACATCTGTCACCAAACATAGTTATAAAATTTTTTCTTGTAATGAGAGTGTTAAGATCTCTCTTAGCAACTTTCAAATATGCAACACAGTATTATTAACTGCAGTAGCGATTTTCAAACGGTGTGCCACAAGAATTTTTAGAACATGCAATACTATTTATCCAGGAGCACTGTCCTCTTTTTCCTTAGATTGACAAATAAAAAATGACAACAGCCCTAGACAGTTTGGCTCAGTGGATAGAGCATTGGTCCATGAGCTAAAGGGTCCTGGGTTCGATTCTGATCAAGGGTATGTACCTCGGTTGCAGGTTCCCCGGCCCTGGTCAGGGTGTGTGCAGGAGTCAACCAATCGATGTGTCTCTCCCACATCGATGTTTCTTTCTGTCTCTTCCTCTCCCTTCCACTCTCTAAAAATCAATGGAAAAATATCCTCGGGTGAGGATTAACCAAGATAGATAGATAGATAGATAGTGGATCTCTCTTTTTTAAAAAAAAAAGTGACAACAGCCAGCACAACAATATCTGTCCATTGTGAATACATTACAATTATTCCGATTTATTTTGTCAGATCAGCAAGAAATAGATTTCTTGGTGTGCCGCAGACTTTCAGTGCTAAGCTTATGTGCCATGAGCTGGCTGGGAAAGGCTGAAGATCACTGAACGAAGGTCACCATGCTGTCTGTCACGTCCCAGCACTTGTTTCCTTTACCACCGGAGTTTGTACCTTTAGACGCCACCCATTTCACCCTCCCCACCCACCCCGCCAATCAGTCACATCTCTAAGCTCGTTGTCACCTTCTAAAGGTCAAGTCTGACACCGCAGCGGTTGCTTACCCAGAAATCCCAGTTTCCCATTAGTTGACCTCTAATCAAGTCTGAGTACTTTCCCCAGCCGGGCACGCAGGCTGCTCTAAATCCCACCAAAATCACCAAACCATGCACGTTACCATTCTGTACATTTGTTTACTGTGGCACCAGCTCGGTCATGCATGGTGCACCAGAGGGTCTTGCGTAAGAAGGCCTAGTTAATAAGACTGAGAAATGAGCTCCCGGTCGTCTCGTGAGAGATATTGCGGATTGTGGGCCACAGAGCCTTGTCATTTCTTGCTAACAGTTCAGTCAGGATCCGCACACCATTTTCCAGCATGAAGAGCAGCCATGTTTGGGGCATGTCTGTTCCACTATTGATTTTTGCTGTATAGTTGCTCTTAGGACGAAAACAGTTCTGCAAAACGCCATCTTTTTTCAGTAGCTCTGTGTGGGCCAAAGGAAAATATCAGTGTAGAGTCGAGCCTCAATGTTTCCCCCCAAACGCGAAAGAGTAAAAAGCCATCCCAGAATGCACAGTCACTATGCTAGCACAAAATAGTTTCTAATGGAATCTGCTGTTTACATGTATGTTCAGGTAAAGTGAGAACTTATTAGTGAATCAGAGGCATTTCTTACAAACGAAGTATGCATCCCGTCTATGTTAATAATGTATTTTTTGTCTCTCTCGGTGGATTTAAGTAGTCACGGAAACTGTCTACAGAAAAATTAACCTAAAATTAAAACCTCCTTGTTCATACACATCGTCCCACATACAAATGGATACTATGAATGTACCCCATTGAATTAGTTAATTAGTTATTACTATCAGTTCCTTGGGACACATTTTACTGAAAACATTCTCGCAGGCTCATAAGCGTGTCATTATATTAAAAATCAGGTGCCTTATGTGTCTGACTTTGATCATTTATCATAGAAATGGCTTAATAGTATACCATCTGTGCTTAAAGTATTTTAAAATATCTTGTTTTTTTCCCCTAACACAGTGGTCGGCAAACTCATTAGTCAACAGAGCCAAATATCAACAGTACAATGATTGAAATTTCTTTTGAGAGCCAAATTTTTTAAACTTAAACTATATAGGTAGGTACATTGTTATTAACTTAATTAGGGTATTCCTAAGGCTTAGGAAGAGCCACACTCAAGGGGCCAAAGAGCCGAAGTTTGCCGACCACGGCCCTAACATATTGATTCTTATGTATTTACATTCCAAATCAAGTGCAAGCTACATGAAATCAAGGTCAATGTCTTACTCATCTTTTTAATCCTCATAGGACTCAGAGGGAGCAGGTCCGAGTAAGTCCCTGGGCAGGCCCTTTAAAAGGAACTGCCTGAGACTCCAGAAGACCTCCCCCCCACCGACTCCCCGCATCCCACTCAGTCATAATCGCTGTCGATTTCCACAGCCAGAAGTTATAGGACCTTCTCTTCCCAGCATTTGAACCCTGGGCTGGGGGGCCTGGTGTGGGGCCAGGGCCCTTTGCTCTCCAGGGGGGACCTCCTCGGCCAAGACATCCCTCCCGATTGTCATCCCCAACACGTGGGTGTGGGACCAGCCTGCTTGCATCAGCCTCGAAGTGGCTGCCTCTCCATCCACATCCTCAGCTATAGGGCTTCTGCTCGCTGGGCCTCAGGCGATTCTGAAGCATGGTTGTTCTGTAGTCTAGCTGTACCTTTGAGGTGGTGGTGGGAGGATGTGAGCATGCACCTGTCTGTGCGGCCATCTGGACTGGGCAGCATTATTTTGCATATTGAGATGAACTTTTGAATAATGTTCTCAACTTTTAAAATACATAGAGAGTTAGCCCTGGCCAGTGTGGCTCAGTTGGTTGAGCATTGTCCTGTGGACCGAAAGGTCGTAGGTTCGATTACCCATCAGGGCACATACTCAGGTTGCAGGCTTGATCCTTGGTAGGGGTGCATGCGAGAGGCAACCAGGCGATGTTTCTCTCCCTCTCCTCCCTCTCTCTCTAAAAAGCAATGAAAACATATTTAAACTAATACATTGGGACTTTCACAGGGATTGTTTTTTATATTTACTCTGGATACAATTAAAATATACTTTTCTATTTTCTCTTTTACAACCATAACATTTTTTCGTGTATTGAACCCTTTCATTTCTTACAATAAAATGTTCTTGTTTATTTAAGAACTCAGCATTTCTTGTCTCGGTTTTCCAAAGCATTTTATGTTTTTCTTTCTGTTGTGGGTGGATTTTTTTTTTTAAGTCTTCTAAACAATGATTACCAAAATGTGGGAAACCACTAGTTTTTATGGTATTCTTTTCTGGAAATTGGTACTTCGAGGTTTTTTGTCCTTGCCTTGACATTTTTCATTACCGTTTAGAAAGCACTGCCATATCCTTATCTGTCCCTTTACACGCTTTTTACTGGCTTGCTCATCCTAATTGCTTCATATTAACTAATTTGTTTGTTTTTTAATATATATAGTTATTTTAAAATAAAATGACAGGAGATGTAACAGTTCCAATTCCTCAATATATTTTCATTAAACCACCTGTTATCAAATACATAATAAAATAGTATAATTCATATGAAAATGAAATTCTCTAGTTATACGTTCTAGTCTATCCTTGATGCTCATTCCTCAGAATCACGATGGACTTAGGTCCAAGCTCTTGGAGTGCCTTAGGTAAGGGTCTCATAACCGTT